TGAAGATTTTTCTCTCTTTGGTTTTTACTAGTTTTACTATGATATGCCTAGTTGTGGTATTTTTTGTGTTTCTCTTGCTTAAGCTTCTCTGAGCTTCTTGAACACGGGAAGTGATATGCATGTTTTGAAAAATGCTCATTCAATACTTTTTGAATATTGACTTTGTCTCATCCTTTTCTTCCCCTCTTTTTGAAACTAAAATTATACATATGATAGACACTATGGATGTGTCCCACATGTGTCTTATTCTGTGCATGTTTCCTTTTCTTGTCTCTTGACACTTGACTTGTCTTCTATCTAACTAATTCTATGTTCTGCCGTGTTCATGAGGTCAATGAACTGCGTGAACTCAGCCTAGAAAAAGTGCTACCTACCTCATTGCTGAATATCATCACTACAAGTCACCTTGAAAGTACTCCCCTTGGAAAGCTATGTACCAACACCAGTGCCTAGTCCACCCTTCAAAGCAATTTTGGAACTCTTTTTCTGGAATGGCCATCAGAGCTGTTGTCATGTTACCCTTGATGTCCTGAATATCATCAAAATGTCTTCCTTTCAATATTTCCTTTATCTTCGAGTAAAGAAAGAAGTCATTAGGGGCCATATCAGGTGAGTAGGGAGGGTGTTCTAATACAGTTATTTGTTTACTGGCTAAAAACTACCTCACAGACAGTGGTGTCATGTGAGCTGGTGCATTATTGTGATGCAAGAGTCATGAATTGTTGGCAAAAAGTTCAGGTCGTCTAACTTTTTCACACAGGTTTTTCACCACTTCCAAATAGTAAACTTGGTTAACTATTTGTCCAGTTGGAACAAAATCATACATGAATAATCCCTCTGATATCAAAAAAGGATAGCAACATTGTTGCAACAAAGTTTGCGAACTTAATTGTCATACCTCATAATCTGCTGTTGAAACTGCCCATTTCATTATTAATTTCAGATATTGTATTCCTTGAGTGCTATAAGATCCACTGGTTCTTTATAAATTACAGTTCTCTTTTGAAATTCTAAAACTTTTCACTCATTCTGTCCACCTTGCCTCCAATTTATGTAACATATTAATTATGGTTAATCTAAAGTCCCACATCTGCTACCTCCAGTGTCTGAATACTATGTGATTCTGTCTCTTCATGCCTTAAAGTCTACTTTGATATTAGTGTAGCTTTACCAGCCATCTTTTGGTTAGTGTTTACATAGTTTCTTTCCTAATATTTTACTTTCAACTTTTCTGTGCTCTTATATTTAATATATATAAATTGTATATAGTTGGCTTTCTTTTTTAATCCATACTGGAAATGTTAATGTCTTGATTGGGGAGTTATATTTTCTTTCTTCTTTGTATGGTTAATAATTTCTAATTTTTTTATTTTCAATAAGTTTAATCAATTCAAATACTCAACATTGCACATTTAGAAGAAGAAAAGCTAAAGAGGTTCCACATACTGTCGTCTTCCACATGAAAGGATCCCCCTGTCCTCTGTTGGGCAGATAAATAAGAGGGCTGATCACCTTGATCCAGTCAGGGATTTACCTGGGTTATGGCTGCTTTTGTGGTCAAAGCTCAGATAGACTCAGTCTGTCTCTCACTAATCCATATTTTCTGGGCATGGCCTTTGCAGGGTCCTGATTGAGAGGCAGGCAGATCTCAAACTCCTCAGCCTTGAAAGTCTGCAGGAGATCTGCAGTTCCATCCTAGATCTCCAGCTTCTCACCTCAGGCAGCTTCGACCTGGCACCTACCCCGAAGAGGACATGACCAGTGATCTTGAGGCAGATTCTTGCTGTTGGTCGATCTTTGTTCCCTAAACATGGAGACTGCAAGATGGCTCCCTCTGACCTTTAAGAACATGTTAAGTCTAGCTTGTCAGTCATCGACTCAGCTCAAAATTGTGTACTTGAGACCCCTGAAGTTTCCAGTTTCTCCTCCAGACCCATGCAACAAATAAAAACTTTACTGGTTTCTCTCTGGTCCTGTAGAGGATCTCCTGAACCAAGTCTGGTTCTCAGCCTGTAGTCCGAACTGGAAAATATCCCCAGAGGAGAGGAGGGACAAAAACTTATTGGCAACGTCAGCTCATTTTATAACAGCGCTGATCCTCTGAAATGGTAGTTAATGCAGTCCTCATTGCTCTCATAGCTTTCCTATGCTGTGATTTAAAAGCAAAAATTACCCAGGTTTTTCTGTTCATACAGTGGGAGTACCGGTCTACCATAATTTATAGCATACTACCTAGAAGTGAAAATGGAGAGATTATTTTTTAATCCCATTGGGAAGGAAAATCCCCTGCCCCAAGTCTACAGTATCCAACAGGGTTTTTACTTCAACACTGCTGATGGTAATCTTGAGCATAATATAACATCTTCCCTCTCAGTTATTAGTCATAAGCATGTCTGCTATTCTCTAACAGGACATCTTGAGGAAAGGGAAAAATTTGAACCTTGATTCTTAACAGAGGTAGGTTATCAGGGAAGGAGAGAGGTACTCAGGGGGAGTGCAAGTTTTAAATGAAGCAGCAAAAAGTCAACTGGAGTAGGAATTGTCAGATTGCAGGTGGACCCTGGGTTTTGCCGCTTACTGGGTTACACTGGGAAAGCCACTTCATTCTCTGTTTCCATTTCCTGGAATTTGAAAGAAGGTTTGTTTGACTCTAAAACCTATTCCTCACTACACCAATGCTGTCAGAATTGCACATAGCGGAGCCCTGACTTAGGGCTTGTCTGTCTGTTTGAAACAGGCCCCACTGCAATGCAAGTCTACAGGAGAAGTCTGGTTTGCTGGCTGCCATGAAAAACAGACAACCGTCTTCTGAAATTCTTTCATTAGTGCTAGAGTGGCATGAACATGAGAGGACTCAGGATTAGGGTGAGACAAAAAGGCTGAGGACAGTAAAGATCTACCTTACCCTCTCCTTCCAGATAAGAAGGCTGGAAATCTGCAAGAGCCCAGGAGCTGGACAGAGGGTTCCCCAAGCTCCTGAGGTTCTGGAGATCAGGGGACCACCCTCAGATGCTATAGAAAGCAGGCCAGGGAACTGGAGGGGGTGTGAGGATAAGGCATGACATAGCCCGAGGACCTTTGTCAATTCATCACCACTCTCTTGACCTAGTTTAGAGGCTGTCAGTCTGGTGGCATCTGCGTCGAGAGAAACGAACCTAACACATAAACACAAATTGGGGGAGGAGATCAAAGCTATTGGGGACAGGAGACAGATTAAGAAATAGCAAGTTTTCCCTGTGGATTTTAGCCTGTTTCTTTTTCCGCTTTTATATTTGAGCTATGTCCTGATTCTTTCTTGTTACCAGCCAGCTAGGGTATTCGAGCACATGATGACAGAGACTCGACTCCAGTTTCATCAATTCTATCTGGGACAGAGTGGGGAAGGTGGGTCCTGGGCCTGTGCCTTCATACAGGAGTTAATTAGACTGTGACTGATTCTGTTTAGAGGGAAGGACAGAAGTCTTCTAAAAATGTTCGATCTAGTCTCAATATTGAGCTTGTTTCTCAATTCATTTTTTTCCTGAGCACCCACATGGAATTCTGAATCTCCACTCACCCTCTGAGCTGCCATCAAGGAGGCTGACGGTCCTGAAACTAGGCAGGTCCGTGATGATAAAATAAGGACTCTGATCAAGGCCAAAACAGGTAGAACCAATTCAGCCAGTTCCTTAATCTGCTAGAATGAAACTGAGGACTCAGTTATTCAAAGTTATGTCTTGAGAAAATTTTATTTGTTAAGTTAGCAAATGCTGAGGACTAAGGACTTCCCAAGTGTTATGTCATTTTATCCTCCTAACAACCAAACGGGGGAGGGGCTAAATTGTCTTCCACATTTCAAGTCCGTGTGCCAGATACTGGTTTTGATGCTCAGCACCATGCCAGACCTCCTAACCTCTCCCAAGATTATAGTGACTGACATCTTGGCAACCTTATTTCCCAGACTCTTTCTACAGTGGGTGAGGCCCTGTCCAAGGCCTCCTTCAAGCTGATGTCTCAGATGTCTTTGATGGCTTGCTTTCTTCCTGTGTGCAAGTTGGATTAAGTGGCCCCAGGGGTCTCTCTCCCAGTTCTATTACTCAGTGACTCTAGTGCCACCCACCTCGCTGTAATCTTGGTTTCTGTTACTTAAGAGCTTTCTTGTTCCTTCAGTAACAAACACTTGCAGAAAGTATTGTCCTGTACACAAGACTTTCACTTGTATCTCCTTGAATTCTCGAGATGCTTAGGGCACAGCAGAAATCCAAGAGGGAAAAGAAATGGGTTAAATGCATGGGAACAATGTCTATTTCTTCATCTGTCTCCTGCCCCAAATAGCTCTGCTCTCCTCCTCACAACTTGTGCTTACGTGTCTGTTTTGCATCATCAGATCATTCGGTTCTCAATTTACGTTTCACTGCCTCCCAGAGGCCTCCCCTGACCCACGTAGCTAAAACACACCTCAAGGAGACTCCACAGCCCCAGATACAACTTACCATCTCATCTTACTTATTATCCCCGTATCATTTCTCAGGATCTGACATTATCTTATTGATTCAGTTGTTTACATGTTTTTTTTGCTTGTGTCCCCCACCCTTTGCCTTGAATATGAAGACTTTTCAGGGCAGAAATTGCATGTGTCTGTTCTAACTAGAATAGTCCCTGGTGTGCCGGCTGTCACACGCATGTGGAGAACAGCTGTGATTACTAAAGGTGCAAGGAGCCAGAGGTATGCACGTTTTCCAAAACACTCCAATCACATTTCCCATTTGGGGGAAAATGACTCTGAGGCTTCTATCGCACAATACTTAGAAATATCCTACCTAAACAAGTAAAAGACAGATGAGACATCAGGCAGTTTGTATTATTAGGCTGTAGACGTTTATTAAAACAAGCATTTCTCAGAGTTGTCAGCAATGCGTTAGAATTCGCCTAGCTAGCTCCCATTTGCTCTGCCACAGGAGGGCGCGGGGTGGGGGTGGGGGTGGGGCAAGACCCTCACACATGTACAGGATCCGTAGAGCTAAGCAGTGCAGTGAGGGCTTTATTGAGGCTATAACTGTTTGCAAATTTTAAGGCACTGGAGGGTAAAGGGCATGTGCGGTGGGACAGGGCTCAGGTAAAAAATTTCGAGCATGCTCCAGCCTGCCTGGTAGTCCCCTGTTTCCCTCCCTAGCTCCATTGCAGGCACCCCAGCACAAGAAGGGTGAACACACCATATGCACTATCCTCATTCAGACAGACCCCAAACGATCCAAAAAATGTCACAGCTCTATTCCCACCACAACTTATTAGAAGACAAATTACATGTTATCAACTCACCATGGCGCTTCACGTAAATTATACCTCAAGAAATCAGATTTTGGCCAACGCCTTTGTGCTTTGTGCACTTCAAAAAGCCATTGACGAAAGCCACAGAAGAATTGCCCAACTTGTTGAAAGCGTTTTTGCTTTCAACCTGAAGGGCCCACCACGTGGGAAGAAATTACTTTTTAATACCCAGCGGACAGGACACGCCGGTGCCCCCAAGGCCGCAGTACCCGTCGGGGTTCTTGCTCAGGTACTGCTGGTGGTAATCCTCCGCGTAGTAGAAAGTTTGTCCCTCCCGGATGTCCGTCGTGATCTGGCCATAGCTGTGCTCTGACAGGACCTGCGGAGAGAAAGGCACCATCAGGACCTGATCCTGGGCAGAGATGCTCCCAAGTGGGACAGGGACTTCGGGCTGTGAGGGAGGCAGACACGGAGGCAGACACGGAGGGAGGCAGACACGGTGGCTTGGGGTGGGTAGTGGGTTCTTGCGGCCCGGGCTCTGCCACTTCCCAGCTGGGTTATTCTGGGCAAGTTCTTACCTCCCTGTGCCTCAGGTGACTGGCGCTTGAATCAGCTTCTCTGACCTTGTCATTTACACTTTACCGGTTACATCACTGCTGTCCCCCGTGCGTGTTGGGAGCCCTGGTTTGGGCCTTGTGGGTCCATGTGAAACCGGCCCAGTGCTCTCCCAGGGGAAACAGCAGGGATGCATGGCTCCCTGGCTGCACTGGGAAGAATGGGGGTCCCTGAGAGCACCCACGCAGGGCTGCGGTGGGAACGGATACAGGGGTACCGAGAGGACAGGGCAGGGAAAGCGGCACACCCGCCCCTTCTTGTGGCCTCTGCCACCAGCTTAGAGACAGGCCCCCTGCCATCTCACAGGCAGGACAGCGGATCCTCCACTCCCTCACTATGGTTTTAGGGAGCAGGGCTCTGTCAGAAACACTCTGGGGAGCAGGGGGTCATTTGGGGTCTGGGTTTTGCTACTTCAGCCCCCAGGGCCTGGGGAGTGAAGTCAGGGGAGGATGTGCCCTGATGACCTGTGCCAGCTCATCACCACCCTCAGTGACCTAGTTGAAGGCTTGGCGGCATCTGCTGCCAAGGAGAGAAACAGACACAAAAACACATGTCTGGGGAGGAGAGCGGAGCTATTTGGGGCAGGAGCCCGATTAAGAAATAGACATTGTTCCCCATGGATCTTAGCCCGTTTCCTTTCCCTTTTGGATTTCAGCTGTGCCTTCGTTCCTCCCTGCTTGCGGTATTTGAGCACAAGGCTACAGAGAGTCGAGCCCAGTTTCACTGATTCCATTTTGGACAGGGGAGCAAGGTGGGGTCTGGGACTTGTGTTTCCATAAGGGAACTGAGCAGTCTCTGACTATCCGTTGGTCTAATTGAGAGGAAGTCCTCACATCTGCGGTGTCAGGAATCCAATATTAATATTCAGCACGATTCACTGCCACAGTTTTTTTTTTCCCTGAGAATGTTCACTCTTTTCCTGAATCTCCATCCAGCCCTCTGAGCCAGAGCGAGGCAGACTGAGGATCTGACAAGGAGGTGGGGACAGTGAGGAACAGGACGCTCGCCAAGGCAGGTGGATTGGACCCTGCAGCTCAGAAACAGCCAGTTTCCTTACAGGGGTTAGAAATGACAACCAGGAGCCATTCTGACTTCAGTTTTGACACTTTTTTTGTAAACTAGCAATTATCAAGGGTTTACCATATGCCACGCTTTGCACAAAGACTTCACAATGTTAATTTTAGCCTCACAACAGCCATATGAAGGAAGTACTATTATTATCATCCATCTTTAAAAGTGTGTGTCAGATCTTGTGTCCTGATCCCTGACACGCTCAGCTGGCCCTGGTACTGCACAGGCTGAAAGCTTGGAAGCCACATTTCCCAGGTTTGGCTGCCAGCAGCACTCCAGTCTAGATGCCACCAATGAGAGAAGCACACATGAAATCTGGCAGGCTAAATCAGAAGAGAAGCCATTATGTGCAAAGTGCAGTTGTGAGAGTGGGCGCAGGGATCTGCAGAGAGCAGGCCTCACACTGCCTGCCCCTCCTGAGAGCCATTCACTCTTGAGCTGCAGGCAATTAAAGTTGTCGGCAATGATTTCTTGGTATCCTGAAGTCCAGTGGTGCTTTTGCCTGACCTTCACTCCAACAGCCCTCCTAATGATGCCGGAAGCACGAAATTCCCTTTGTAAAATCTACCCTCAAACGCTTTCTGTTTCCGTGACGGAACACCAGCTAACACAGCATTTGGTGCCAGAATTGTTTTCAGGAAGCAGAACCTCAATGAGAATGAGAACCTGGGGCTGGTTAACTGTCCTGGTTAGAGTTAGGAATGACCTCACTGTGATGGAAAGGGATCAGCGCCCACAGTGTATAGTGGCAACACATTTCCTTAAGTTATCACTCGGATTTGCCTGTGACGAAATGCCACTGAAGGGAGGCTTTGGGACACTAGGTTGGCGGTGGCAGTGGAATACTCTGGTGAAGATGATAAGCACAAGGTCTGCGGGGGGGGGGGGGGGGGTGCTGGCCTAGAGCTTGTGGAAAGAAAAAGATGCAAGCTCAGGACTTGACATTCCTGGCCCAAGTTCAGAGAGCCAGAGAATGTCTTGGACTGATTTAAAATAATCTCTTGCTTCTTATTGCTGGGTCCAAATACCAAAGAAAAGGTTGCCTCCAGCAGGTTCCAGATTTACAAGTGGAGTTCACACTCTCACCAGGGGGGAAGCCCAGGGGTATCCTCAGAGAACCCATCCACTCAAACTGTTCCAGACACACCCACTGAGACATGCTCCTCTCCGGCTGTACCTTAGATTCTCTGCGCGTGTCGACAGGAGTCTTCCACATCCCGAGGTGATCTCATATTTTGACCTCAGAAGTTTCCCTGCCATGGCCCCACTGAATGGGAGCTTGCCTGCTGTCAAGATCCGCTGGCCCTCCCGTCTCCTTCACTCCCGGGGCCAGGGCCCAGGTCTGCTGACATCTCCACTCCCTGCCCCATCTGGGCTCTGTCCTCTCTGAGGGCGACCTCCTCGCATGCTGCCCACCCTGCCCTCTCTTTCATAGATGGACGTCCTTCTTGAATGGACAAGGATGGCATTCCCAGAAGCTTCTCTACCAGCCCAGTGAACGCTTTTGCCCAGGCGCCCCTCTTCTCCACACCACCTCTCACTGACCCCTGACCATGGACCACCCCAAAGGGGCAATGTCCCTTTTGGGGAGCAGTGGGAAGGGAGGTGTGAAGATGGGGGCCCAGGCAGTACCAGACCTCTGCCACAAGATGGCAGACACTCCACTTTTATTTGAGAGGAAAAAACCAAGAATAAACAGTGATGAAAACCTACAGAAGACAGAGCTATGCTTCCCTCCCCCAGCTCCCCTTAAACTGGGACATCTGGCCAGGTCTTGGGGTGGCAGACACAGGCTAAAGCCACCAGGCCTATGGTCCACATTGCCCCCTTGCTCTGGGCCAGCCAGCTTTCAGGCTGAGACTGTCACAGCACAAACAAGGCTGTGGCTGTCCTCAACCCTTGCTCTGTAACTGGGGGAGGGGGAAGACTAAAACACACAAAGAAACTGGATGTAAAAGAAGAAGTAGGAAAATGAAAAATCCTACCCAGTCTCTATTTTTCCTTCTTCCACACAGCCTCGGCTTTCTCACTTTACAAAAGCAAATCACTCCAGGGCCTGTTTCCCCCAATAGGTCTTGCCAGACACACAGCTGGGCACAGTGCAAGGGATTCCAGGTGACTTCCTAGGTCTTCTCTGTGCATTAGTTTTCTTGCTGTGACTGTAAACTGTGACGGGCAGTTTTGCTGTGGTCCGCCCCTTCCACTGTGTGTGCCTTCTATGTGCTGGTGAAACTACAGGGTAAATAGAACATGAGATCTCCCTCTAGGGACTGGTCTGGAGCTGGGAGCACACAGAGTAAAAGCCTCTCCCGGGTCCCTCACGAGGACCTGCCAGCCCTTCCCGACTGGGTTCCACTCTGCCTCCTCAGCCTCATTTCCCTCGCCCTTTCCTTACTCTTTTCTTTCTCTTCCTCTCTGAGGACTGTTTTACTTTACACATCGCCTGAACATTTCATCCCCTTGCACACGACCTCCTAGCGATGTTCTTTCTTCTCTTCCCTATTGCTTGAACTTGTAGCCATTTCTCAGCACCCAGATCAAATGTTCCCAGCTTTCTAAAACCTAACCTGATTGTATAAGGCAGAAGGTCACTCCATCTTCTATGCTCCTGCAATCCAACTGTCCCTTACAGTGCTTGTGACATGGCATTTTAGCTCTCCTTTGTTTCTCTAAGCCGCTTCCACTCTTCTCCAGTGAGACACACACTAGATTGTGTGCCCCTTGAGTGTGGATGCACTTATTTGTCTACCTCATCTCAGGGCTTAATATATAAGAAATGAATGAATGAATTTAAAAAAGAACAGTTGAGTCTTGGGATCTCCTGGAGATTCTCTTGACCTTTGGGGCTCCATCTGGGTCCCTGCAGCTGCCCTTGTGGACCTGGGAAGCAACAGTGAGAGGCAGCTTGTGGATCAGGGAGCTTGAGCTGCCTCTTTCCTTGTCATAGGCCCTTGGCCAATTCCGTGGGTGGATTTACTCTTTAGACATGGCATTGTGGCAGCTGTGTCCTTATGGGAAGCACCAATTGTCTTCCACAGAAGGTGGCCTCAGCATTACCCGCAGCTCTTGGAAAAGCCCATTTGCTCTTCTAGGGGCTGAGTGGGGTGATGGGGGAGGTGGAGGAGCAGGGGGAAGTGGGAGATGAAGACTGGTTACTGATGGACCCTGGGCCTCCAAGTCCACAGGTCAACTTGGGTCCATGCAAGCTACATCGGTGCTGTTGGGTGCACCTCGGTCTTCTGATACCTCTCCTACAACATCACCATATACCAGATGCCCCGGCCAATTATGAGGATCATAAGTAATTTGTTACTAGTAATGGCTAACGTATCAGTGATTGTGAATGGCTTATTTTTCCGTAATGAATTATTGCCGATGGAAGGCTCTCCTGATCCTAGTATCACTCCCGCTCACTTGTCCACTAGACCAGAAAGTGTTAGGAGGGCTAGCAACTGGGAGTCACATGTCCTCAGCCTGCACAGTCTCAACCCACCATCCATGGGGTGGGGGGACCTGCGCCAGTGATGGACCGATCCTGATTATAGAAATGATGAATCACATCACCAACAGTTTTCCCATATCATAAAAAGGAGGCTGTACCCATGAGAGTGGGGATAAAGGGGCGGATAAAGAGTTGAAAGCAGCTGCAGCAACCACTCTGGTTTCAATTATAGCTGTCCTCACAGGATGAAT